ATCCAGCACTGCTGCTCAGCAGGGACACGGCCAAGGGAAGTGACAGAAGTGTCCCATGGAGCTGCTGTGCTGGGGAACAAGGTGTCACCATTCTCAGATCAGTGGCTTTCCCAATTTTTATCTTTCCAAGGACCTGAAGTTCCTCCGAGCTCTCGGATGAGCCCAGGGAAGCAGCAACACTTCATGGCAAGAGCAGTTCCCTTCACACCAAACTCCAGCCCTGGAAATGGTTTGGGCTTTGCTGCAAAGAGAGCCCCAAAACGGAGATCTCTCCTCTCCAAATTCCARCTGCCTGACACCAGCAGCTCCCAAACACTTAAAAACCAGGATGGGCAAACAATCCTCCCCGTCCAGAGGGTCCTTCACTGCGGAGTGCTTGARATCATCAGATGAAAAACAAACGGTGCTTTCAGGCTCACGGTGCACCCATGGCATGACGGCAGTGCCCAGTCCAGTGTCAGACACCCCAGGGCACAGGGGGACCCCAGGGGCTGGCACAGCCCAGCCTGGCCTGCTGCTTCTGGAAATCCTGAGCTGGTTCACCTGCAGCTTCCAGAAGGATCTGCTCCAGCCCTGCCCAAGCACCGGGCACAGAGCAGCTGGCACTGCCCACAGCCAGCACCTCCTGGCATCCCAGAGCAGGCAGAGGCCAGAAAACGAGGGATGACCGTGCTTTCCAAAGGCTCTTTCCTCCTCTCAGGACACTTCTTACCTGTTGCAGAGCAGAGCAAAGCCAGTGCAGAGCTGAGCTGAGCCCAGAAGTGACACAGACAGCAGAGCCCCTGCTCCCCTGACCCTGGGTGTGCAGCTCCAGCGGGCTCGGGGTGCTCCAAGGGGCTCTCCTGGGTTATGAGGGTTTGAAAGCTCCTCTCTTGCTGAGTGCTGACTGCTGTGCTGGGAGGGCTCGAGCAGGATGCCAAGGGAAAGGGGAGTGAAGTGAGGGAAAACCGGGGAAACCAAACAGAAACAGCAAAAGCAACAAAAAGCCAAGCGAATTGTGCAACAGACCTGATGGGGGATGAGTCGCTGGACGTAGAGGAGGTGGGCATAGGACTTGATGGCGCGGAGAACATGGGCCAGGACGGTGACAGGGGTGACGTTGGGCTTGGATTCTGAGGGCTGCAAGACATAACCAGAGACCTTATCAACGTGCAAGCACAGCAACAAAGAGCAGCCGAGACACGGAGACCACAGCTCACGATAGCGAGTGCCTTGGGAATATTCCCAGCATGAGACACAGCCACGAAATGAAGTGCCAAGACCTTGGGAAGTGTTTCAAGGCTGGGTCTGCATTCGTCTGGGCAACAGGAGGTGTATCTTCCAATGAACCCCAGCTCCATGGCCCCGTCCACCGTGCCCCTGTGCCCAGGGGTTGTGCTGGCAGCACGGCCACTTACCTGCCTTGTGCTTCCCCCAGAGCTCCCACAAAGAGCTGCTGGTATTTCTGGACGGTATTTCTGCCTGGGAGCAGCCTCCACCCCCTCTGTCTGTCACTTGTGGTGCTCATACATTCAGTATATTAAAATGTCATTGATTTTGTTTCCCATGTTTTACATCGCTTTTCCCCCTCGCGCTGATTCCTGAAGCCACAGCTGTCAACACTGAAACTGAATCAAGTTACTGAACTGGTAACTGCACACAGAAGTTTTTGGTTCCTTCAAAACCGTTCGATTTAAAAGATTCTCAGGTTCACTCAAAAGCAATTATTGGACTAAAATACCAATTTGATTCATCTACTGCTTCTCTGCTTAGCAACTCATTGGTATTCCCTGTTCAATTCAGATTAGAAACTCCATCCCTGATAAAACACCAGAAATCCCTATCCCCACTGCAAATACCTCTGTAAAAACAAGAAGTTTTGTAAAAGCATCATGATTTCTATTTTTYCCTTGAGAGGGACTCTGATCACACAGGTCTGTGATGAGGTGGGGACAGGGCACAACCCCCAGGATGTCCTCATCCCTCAGAAGGAATAGGGAAGGGATCCAGGGATCTCCAGTGGGAGAACCTCAGCCCTGCAGAAGTTCAGAACATTGAACCTTCCACGGTGCCACCAAAGAGGGGTATTTATGACAGGGACACTTTCCCCTTGGAAACTGGACCATGTCTACTTAAGGCCAAACTCTTTACTCCTTGCAGAAGCTGTGTCACTGGATTCAACAGGAATTCCCTCTGCAATTACAGGCAACAYCTTTATTATGTCAGAAGATTACACACATAGAGAAATGGGATACAGCAGTGCAGCATGACTTCACCAGAGGCTGGAAAAACAGGCAATGTTCACGGGCAGGCTGTCAGCGACATCCTCAAAATGTTCTGCTAATAATCATCACTATTTAAAACAATCCTTTTGCATTCTTTATCATCAAAACTGTCCATCTTTTGAAAAATGAGTAAAAAGAAATGACCTGTTTGCCTTAGTCTTTAACAAACCTGGCACTCATTGGTACTTACCAGACACTCCATCTATTCCCACCTCCAAACAGGAGGTGCTACCAAGGTCATCAATTTGCCAAAATTATCCTTCAAGCATCAGTTCTTTCAAAGGGAGGCCCTTCTCCAAGAGGAGCCTGGCCAAGGTGGGACTTGGAGGGGTGATGAGCTGGTGACCAAAATGTGGCTGAGCCTGTGCCAGTGACAATGGCCACCAGCACCCCACCACCCCTCCCACCACTGCCCCCACCATGGCAGCAGGCTCGGGGTGCAAGAGGACATGGCACTGGGTGTGCCAGTGATGGGACAGCCACTGTGACATGATGGGATGGCCACTGTGACATGGCACTGGGTGTGCCAGTGTGGGACAGCCACTGTGACATGATGGGATGGCCACTGTGACATGGCACTGGGTGTGCCAGTGTGGGACAGCCACTGTGACATGATGGGACAGCCACTGTGACATGGCACTGACTGTGCCAGTGATGGCATGGCCACCGTCTCTGCCACCAACCCTGGTCCTCTTCACTGCATGGTGGAAGGAAAATCCAGCAGCACAGGTTTCTGGGACTAGAAACTCCTATTTGAGATGAAATCATGGCAGAAGAATGCAGCTCTCATTTCTCCTCGAGTCGCTCTGCCATCGCTCCACAACTGCGTGCCCACTCTGCTCCTGACCACGGGCAACAGCAGGATTCTCAGAGTTATCGGGGGAAAAAGCCCGGGAGCAGGAACCAGCACTCAGGCCAGCCTCTGCCTAAGAAGTTATCAGTAATTTGGAGCAGGATTTTGGTGTCTTTGGATCCTTRGTGTCAAAGGAAGCAGACTCCGTGCCCAGCAATCCACGGAGAGAGCTGTTCACTAATGCCAGGGTGTGCATTGGGGGTGCAGAGCACCCTGCTCCCACCAGCTGCTCACACAGGACATGAACACGGTCCTACGATGACTGAGCTGCTCTGCAAGTCCTTCAAGAGCATTTCCTCAAGAAGAACTCATGGATAGCTCAGGACCCATCTGAGCTGCCCCCAACACTGACCGACCCTGGGGTATGATGGGTAGGAAGGGTTCATCTCCCTCCCATGAAATACAGGTATTTCTTTTCAAGCTGCTTTTCAAGCTGCTATTTTTTTCTTGAGCATCCCCTTCCTGAGTTTTTGGGACTGTAAGAGCCGAGTCCTGCCTCGCTGGAGACGTCAGTGCATGTGAGGAATGGGCTATCCCAAGGCCTCTGGCGTTTTGGAAAACACCTTTCYTGTAGGATCCAAWTTCCTTTGTTTCTCACAGAAAGAGYAGAGGTGGTGAGAGGCTGGGGGGAAGTTCTGGCTGCTGCCTGCAGGCAGCCAATGTCAGCTGKAGCTTTTTTGTCCTTCTTCTTACTCGGGAGGGCTTTGCGAGGGGCTCTTCCTGTTGGGTGCACAGTGGAAACAAAACAAGAGAAAATTGCTAAGAACCAAAACCATCAGAAGCAGGAAACAAAGAAACACARTCTTCCAAGGTGAGAATGGACCTTTCCCCAGCAGGAGAAGCTGGGGGAGCTCCATGAGTCCRTGGCCCAAGGCATCCCAAGGCTCCTGCCTTTCCCGCTGGTCCCTCGGAAGCAGTGGCTGTGATCCCGCAGGGAGGGAGCACTGCTGGGCACAGGCAGGGCGAGGGCACAGTGCCACAGCACCTGCAGGGCCACCTGCACCTTCCACTCCACGAGTCCCTCCAGCAATTCTGCTCTTGCAGCAAACAGGGTGCTTGGCAATGAATTTAGGAGCTAAATCCTCCTCCCTGCTTCCCGTGCTGGCCGTACACGCTGCCTTTCCCATGCAGATGTTTTGTTTGCTGCCCCAACACGTGAAAAAAGGCAGTAACTCTTGTTTCAAGACTCTGCTGGAGTTGCTGGAGATAAAAAATCTCTTTTGTGATCCCTTTTCCCAACCTGCCTCTCTCATTGCTGTTCCTCTGCCCAGGCTGCCTCTGGCATTCTTCACCTGGCTCAGGCCCCCAAGGCATGTGCAGCTCTCAGAACCCTTCCCAGCAGCTCTCCAGACAACTTCTGCTGCTTTGTTCTCCTGCCTGAGAGGACATCGGTTCCACTTCAAACATGTTTACAACTTGTTTATTTTTGTGGAACTCGGGGCTATTTCTGCCACAGAACATCTCACAGCTACGGGTGGACAGAGCCCACTGATGGATTCCAGCCYTTTCATGAAATCACCTCAAGAACAAACAACAATATTCCCATTCTGACATGATCGGTACCTGACTGCAGTAAAACACATCAAGGGCCACCCAGCCCTTTGCTCCCTGATCTGTTCCTATGGAACAAAGCTGCAGAACATAAGGTTCTTCTCAAAGGTAACRAGAAAAAAGAAAATTACAGCTTTATGTAACATCAGAGCACTTCAGCWCTGCTGAAACAAGGACAAGACTGCAGCTCACCAGCAGACATGGCTCTGTTGCCTAAATKAAATGGGAGGCAGCCTGGGTTTGGGAAGCCCATGGAGCTCCAGCAGTGTTGGAGGTCCCAGCAAAGCCTGGAGCGATGGATGGGCTTTAAGAAGAGCTCCCAGGCCCTGGCAGCACCACCCCAGACCTCACAGCTCACAGGGCTCCAGGCTGGCAGGGCTCTTCCTCTGCTTGCTACTTTAATGCAAGAAAAATGATGTTAAACTCCCCGCAGAGTTACTCTCTCAGGAGTTACGTTGCTGCGTGGTCATTTGGATGGAAAAAATGACACACTTAGGGAAGCAGCTAAAATGGCTTGTGCTCAAACTGATCCAAAAAAATCTCAGATTCTTAAGCATGGACTTTCCCTGCATCTCCATTTACCCGTTCCCCATCTCCATCAGCACAGATTTCAGGATCTTCTTTCCACCAACATGGACACGTCCCTCTGTAATCCTGATGACACCCAGCACATKGCTTTGTCTTGTCACTTTGCTGCTTGGCTGATTTCCCGTGTGTGGGAATATTTCCCCGCTTTAGTCATTTCAYAAACCATCTAAAAGCTTTTCCACTCGAATCAGAGAGAGAGAGCAGGCTGAGTTGTGACTCTGGGGAGGAGAGCTGGAGCTGTTGTCCCACATTGCCATTTCCAAGCGCAGACGGATGATGCTCGATGGTGCAGAGGGAGGAGATGACAAGGCTGCTTTGGTACAGAGTTCTGGCACGGAGCTCAGAGCCTGCTGTTAATGCTGCAGAGAGTCAGGGAGCAAGCAGAGAGTCAGCAATGGAWGAGTTCTCAGCGTGAGCAAGAGCTGCACGAGGGAAGCTGCAGGGGCAGCCTGGTGTCAGCACAGTGTCCTCCCCACCAGRTGAGCTCCAGGTGATGGGAGCATTGTGCCTTCTGAACAGGGAACAGCACTGCACGAGGTGCTGGTGACAGTTACCAGTGCCACCAGCAGGGTACAGACCCGCCAGTCACTGCTCAGCACTGGGACAGACTGGGGAGAGGGGACAGGGCAATGGAGGCAGCCACGGGCCCACACTAACGAGACTTTGGGTCCTCCCCAGCACCCAGCCTGGGTGTGACACAGTCACAGAATGGCCTGGGCTGGAAGGGACCTTAAAGGCACCCAGTGCCACCCCTGCCATGGGCAAGGACACGTCCCACCATCCCGGGGTGCTCCCAGCCCACCTTGGGCACTGCCAGGGATCCAGGGGCACCCACCGCTCCTCTGTGCCAGGACCCCCACCCTCACAGGGAAGGATTTCTCCCCAATATCTCACTGCACCATTTGCTCAACAGCTGCATTTTCTGCTCCATCAATACTCCCCTCCCTCTTCCTCTCTGCCCAAAAGGCTCTCAGCAGACTCCAAACTGGGCTGGAAGGTTTTATGTTGCCGAGTGCTTTCAAAGTGTGTTAAAGCTCTTAATTATTAATAGAAAAGTTGTAATGTGGCAGCAGGGAGCCAAACTGGCAGTTTAGGAGGGAMGTGTTGGTAAATCAGGAGCCAGTATCTTAGTCATGGCTTCTCCATCGTGCCACAGCTTCTACCACGAGCTAATGCTGCAAGGCTGGGTGCATTAGTCACCAACAAATTGTGTTTGCAATTAAGCAGAACTCCCTCCAGAAATCTCTCACTCCTCTCTGGCATTCAATGCACTGCTATCTTACATCCCCCAGAAAAGAAAACTCTCCCATCTGCCACCCCAACAACCATATGGGATCCTTGGAAAATGAAGGAAATTAAAGTCCCWGTGGGATCACAGCTCCCAGCTCAGYWGTGGGGGGTTTGGGAGGATCAAATATTTGAGCTAAACACATCCTGTGCCCCGGGCAGCCCCGCAGTGCTGTCGAGCTGGCTGTGCCAGCCACCAGCAACTAAAGCTGAGCTCTGGAGCTGAGGGTGACCTCGTTTGGGACGTTGGAGCTGCAGGGAAGGTGAGGGATAGAGAAAAACGCTGTCCTGACTACCAGCCACCATCACTGCCCTGGGCAGGACAGCCCTGAGCCCTGGCCCAGCAGGACCCACCCTGCACTGCCCCACTGCCCTGAGAGCCTGGCTTTGGGTGCCAAGGGAGGGCATTTTGCCCTTATCCCCCCAAAGCAATCCTTGTTCTGGCTGGCACAGGGCTGGAGGGACCCCTGGCTGGCCCAAGAAGCAATGGAGGACCCCCTGCTCTGCCCCACACACTCCCAAAGTCTCCCCTGAGCCCCAGAGGACAAGTGAGACTCTCCCAACATCCAAGGAGGGCAGAGATTTCGGGATGGCAGCAGCAACCCCCCCAGGAGCTGATAATGTCAGCTCTCCAAATGGAAAGAAGTTCCTTTGACTCGTTAAGCAATTTCTGGAAACGACCAGAACAGCTTCTCCCCACCGTAAAAAATTCATTCCTGGCTAAGGAATATTCCCCACATAACTTGATAGGAGGCCACTGGCAGGCTCAAATCCTAACAGAAAACAAAGTCGGTTTCTCTGAGCCTCATMAGCACCACAGGCTCAAACTCTCATTTTTTAACAGCAAATCTCCCTGCAGCACAAGGAGCCAACACTGCCCACAGAGGGCACACGCAGTGGGAAAAACAAYGGGGATTATTTGGGCCTGAGAAGGTGATTCAAGAAGCAGGGATGAGTAAAGACACTGCATTGTAAATTCCTGCGTTTTCTTGGTCTCCCTGATTTCGTTTTGTCCATCTGGCCTCGTGATGCTTTGCTCTGCAGCATTCTGCAAGCATCAGTCACGAGAGCTGCTCAGAGCATTTCACTGCAAACCCCAAAGACCACAACACTGAAACAATCCAACTTGATCGTATTTATCAAAAGGAACGCCATGTTTGTTCTGCTCTTTCTTTTCTCAGTTTTTTCACTTAAAACCACCAAACTTTGCAGTACCCTTTTTGCCTCAGCAGCTCTCACCAGCAAAACTCTCCTCGTGCAGCCACACACCCCCTCCCAGTGCAGCCCAGCAGGGAGGTGTGAACACCACAACCCTCCCAGTTCACTGGCCCAGCCTCAATTTCTCTCCCTGCCATCAAGCTGGACAGGCAGCCTTGGAGAACCCTTCCCAGTAATCCAATACAGCAAAGATTATTACATTCGATTCACTTCTTTTCTGGCTGGGTATTTTTTCCACTTCTTATTCCTCGTGCTTTCCCAAGTCTCCCCGTGCTGCACCCACTGCTGTGCCGTCCACCCAGCACTTCCAACCCAACCTCCTGCTCAACAGGGGCTGGAAGGGCCTTAGGAGACAYC